CCTTTTGTGTAATAAAGATCCAAAATATTGTGCCAGAAACAATCTGGAATGTGGTAAACAATGTGGGGGAACAAACTACTTGCATGATAGATGTGTGATTACCAACATCTGGCATGGCCGGACAGTTTGTCAAGGCAGCGTCATGTAAACCCCAGGGAGCCATGGCCTGAGTTTAGCACTTATAGGGAGCGATACAAACATCATGGTATCCAGGTTGCATTGTGATAAATGCCACAAGCACATGTAAGAGTATTACACATAAGTTCTTAAACGCTGCATGCACCTTCCTACATATTGTTAATGACTAATGAGTCAGAGTAAAGAAGCCAAAATATTCATAAACACAGGAAATTGTATTGAATATAAAAGCAAAATCACTCGGGCAGCAATGGAGTTGAGGTCAATGCAATATTGTTGATCATAGGAAGCTCGTCTCGGTTATTAACAATGACAAAAACAAACAGAGGTGGGTCTGCAGTTGGACGTCTTGGAGCACAGCAACAAGTAGAAGTGGGGTTTTCCTACAGTGGAGCAGGGCTCTCCAGGGCCCTTCATGACATGAAAGAAGCGCTGTGGGCTGCCAGAATCCCTTTCAGTACACTGGGGTTTAGCAGAGGAAAAAACTCCAATCCAGGACCTTTGTTCCTTTGTTCATGTTCTCAAGTGTTCTTCTGGGAGCCCACAGGTGAACTGAGGGTGTTCTTTATGTAGGGTGTGTCCAAGCCACACAATCACATCCAGTTCAATCGCTATCGGCTGGATGTTTCAGGCTGAGCAGATGTATAGATTAACAGAACACAGTAACATAAACAGCGAGCCATAGGAAGACAAAGCATACAAAATATGACAGTGACATATAAACGGTACAGTTCCTGTGCATTCTCAGTTGGTGCCAGAGCAGGACACGTGTTTATGTCTTTGCATCCGTGGCATCATACTGAAGAAGCAACGAAAAGCATGCGGTGATATAACCAAGAGTAACACTCAGTGGAGAGGGTTAAGATAGTTATAGAGAGTTATAGATAGGGGTAGTTTCTGCAGATTTTGGAGAGGTTAGCCTATATATTGTTACATCACATAATATTCATACAAAGCCAAAGGGAGTAAGTGGAGCGAATGAAGTGAGCCAGCAGCCCCACAGCTCCATCTGCACTGCTGACCTGGGTTACTGGCATTCCGCTGCTAAATTAAATGGTTGCTACATCAGGTACATAACATGGAGTCTAGTGACACCCGGGGGTCTAAACAACACACTGCACTACAGAGTGTGGCGATGACTGGGGGAAAATTGAGCTCTATGCAGATCAGGGAATGCAGGTATCAATAAAGAAGAGTCTGTCTGCATGTAGATTTTCATAAAAACAACAACAACAGCAAAACACACTACAGCAGTTTATTTCAATGAATGATAATCTACATGAAATAATAAGCTGAATAAGAACCAGGTTTTAGTAAGGATGCTTCCAGACTACTAGAATCTAAATGCCAATATTTGTAAAACAAAAGATTATCTTATGCAGTGTAAGAAATTCAATCTATTGAAAAAACAATCTTTTGCAGAAAAATGTGTCATTTGCAGTTTATCAAGCATGCACTGTGTAAGTGTTTTTATTTAACTGTAAATGATTGAAAAGGTTAAAACAGCTTTGTTCCGTGCACAAATGGTGCACACATAATTTCCTACAACACAATTCAACTTATGTTTATCATCAACAATCTACTTTTCCTCTGATAACAAGTATTCATAGAGCTTGAAGACATTGAGAAGAGGATGAGGAAGTCCAAAATGCAGGTTTTGGTCTGAAAGAACAATCTCCAGTACAATCATCACATTTATAGATGTTATAATAAGTGAATTAGCTTCAGAATACATACATACAGTATTTTATTGCTTTGCAATATAAGTACAATGTATTGAACATCAAGAGTTTCGTTCTGAAATTATAAATATATATTAGTCATTTTTAAAGAAAGTAAAGTAACTTAAAACCTTGACTGTCAATATGACAACTCTTGTACAGACTCATCCCTCTGCATTTTAGAGGTAGTTAAGTGATGGAAGTCAGGTAATAAGCAGCTTGAATTGTGTATCTGTAGCGGAGCATGTGCAGTGGTAAAGTGTACCATCCAGTAGAAGAAATTGAAATCCATGCAATGACTTTTTCATGATGGCAGCCTTCCTCCTTTATTCTGTTTGTCTGCTCTCCATCCCTCACCTTATCTCTACAGCTGCCTGTGGAAATCCCACCTCCGCATGCTAGTTAGCCATGATGCTTCCCAGACATCCATGCTGTCAGGTGGCTATGGCTGCCTGGGTGGCCATCTTTGCTGCTTTTACTGCCTGGTACCTCCTGTGATCTCAGTCCTCTTCATTTTGACTCATCCTGCCTGAAAGTAGCATACAATAAAACACATTTTTTTAAATAATTATTTTTGTGCTCAAAATTTGACGTTTGCATGAATGAGTGTGTGTGTGTACTGTAGGTTGTTCCGGGGAGCTGATTGGTGCCAGCCTCCAAGCGGGCGGTTTAAAGGGCTGGTTTCTCCCCTGCTTCTGTGGGCTCTCCTCTTCACTGCCAACCTGACTGTATAATGTTTATTGTGAAATGTAACATTCTTTCTACTTGATAAATAGTACAGGTTCGGCAGGGGTGGGTTTCAACCAAAAAACTGGCAACAGTTCTCACTCAGAAAGCATACGATCTCACTCATACCACACTGACCTACTAAACACTAAAAACACACTACGTAAATTTGATGAGCTTTTATCTTCAAAATGTGACTGATTTTTTCATATAAATTTGTATTTCATTTTAGAATACAGCATTTCTCAGTCACTTTGGTACATTTCTCAGATCAGTATTGAAATTCTGCTTGTTCAACCTCCACATCATCAATTGACTTGATGATGTGGAGCCACATCATATGGAAAAGCAAGTCTTTTGAGAAATTGCAAATTGCACATGCACATTTATGCAAATGATTATGTACAATTGTCTGCTGTTTCCTACATTATCAGTTGCTTACTGTATGTCATGTTGATTACAATGCATTACAGTATACTGGTTCTCTGTTGAGTAGTCTTACCCCCCAAAAAATTTAGTCATAAGTTCATTGCGTAAGTCACTATATGCCAAAAAAAAACAACACCTCATAATCCAGTTTTTTTTTCTACATAGGTCTCTTAGACTTTTTTGTAAATGTGTCGTAGAGTAAATTGATGAAGATATCTGTTGTGCTGTGAATGAGAATCTGTGGTCCAATAGACAGGAACGTTAACCTGAGGGGGGGTTTCCATGTTTCCATGTTTCCATTTCTTATTTTGTAATTGTTTCCGTTGTGCTTTGCAGTGCTGTAAAATAGTCTGTTTTTTTGTTTTTTTGTATCACAATGACATGATCTGTCAACAAATTACAGTGCATATAATCCTGTCCAATCTCTTGCAATGTTGCAATGCAAACTCTGTACTGTTGAAATTGATCTATGCCATACAGAAAAAGTGCAGCCTTGTGCATTTTCAATCATCGTCATCCAAACCTTAGTCATAGTTTACCAATACAAATATTTTTGCAAATGTTAAGGATGATTCTAGAAATGTACCAAAGCAAAGAATAACATATTTTCACTTTAGTATATTGACTGTATTATAGCTTATGTATAATGAATCAGAAATGCATTCAGTAATTTAGTTGTGAAAAAAAGAAGTTCCTGACATTTCAGTGCTGCGATACAGTTTTTTTCACTTGTTTACACAGTAAAACTGATACCTGAAACACAATGACCACAGCCTGTAACTGATGTACCAAACCCCTGAACCAATTCTGCTAAAATACAAGTACATGTCTTTCTTTACACTCAGCTTGCAGTTTTACAGTAAAACTGGGTAGGGTGGTGATGGCACAATAGATAAGACACATGCCTTTGGTATGAGAGACCCAGGTTCAATTCCCCATTGTGTCCCTGACCAAGACACTTAACCCCTAGTTGCTCCAGAGGCGTGCGACCTGTATATCTGACATGTATAGCAATTGTAAGTTGCTTTGGATAAAAGCTTCAGCTAAATGAATAAAATGTAACACTACACATTTCTCTACGCACATAAATGTTCTGCTAAGATTTTCTATATGTATCTGTCCAGCTACTGCAACAGTTTTGGTCAAAGTGTGTTAGCATCTGAAAAACGTGCTGCAAATACACAGTGTTTTGCAGGTGGTAAAGTTGTAATGAGAAGAGTTCACAGATTTTGGAGAAAGGGGTCATTGACTGCATTTTGTGTGAAAGCAATTTAAAAATGATTCACAGTTCGGTCCACATACACTTTTGTTTCACTAGATGTGTGAAGAGTTTTGACAATGTGACTTCAGTTTTGCCCAGTGTAGGTTAGCAATTGAAAAAAACTGTAAATCACTACTTGCAAACAGGTTGTCATAATCTGTCAAGCATATATTCTATACATGTCTATTAGTCTGTTTTTGTGAATTTATCCTACATTGATGAAGATATCTATAGTGATGTGGACAACAATCAGTGGTCTGACAGATAGCAACGTCAGCCTAAGGGGTGTTTATGTTTCTGACAGTATTTTGTAATTTGCTCAAAAACAGTCTCATGATTTTCTTTTCTGCATCCCTATGACATGCTCTGTCAACAAATTACAGTAAAACAGACATGCTCTGTCAAGAAATTACAGTAAAAACCAGGTTGTAACAAAGCATGTTTTGTGTCTGTATGTATCTACTCACAAGGTCTGTGATATTCTTGTAGGGGACTGAATTGGTGCCATTTGTAGTAAACAAATGTGGGTACTTTGTATAAAAGTTATACAAAGTATAACTGTATGTATAAGACTTTTATCTACTGAAGCAAAAAGTGTTACAACCATTCCCGGTCTCTCCTACTATTATTTGTCAAGGTCTTCTTTTACTGTTTTATTGAAACTTCACTTCAGAACTTCAGAATCTACCAGAGTCAGTTTGTTAGATAAAAAAATTTAAAATAAAATAAGCTTTTTTTTTTTTTTATGAAAAGCTTATTCTGTAAATGTACTTACACACCTTACTTAAGCTCTGATCAAATTATAATATTGTTTTGCATGCACGTTTATTCTGTGACTTTTTTTAGCCTCAGGAGACCTGGCTGAAGAAAAAGATTCACCAGGTAAATGGGAGATAACAAAAAACAGAAACATCAGTCATGTTTCACTTTCAGTGACTATATCTTTATTGTTGCTTACTCCCTTATCTCTCTTCAGAACCTGGTAATTTCAGGTTGACGGGAGGAGCCACCCGCTGTGCTGGTGGACTGAATGAAACTCTACAATGACTGGAAACCAGTGGATGACCCTTTGTTTGGCTGGGACCTGAGAACAGCAGATTTAGTGTGTAGACAGTTGGACTGTGTGGATCCGCTGTGTCAGCAAAAATCAAGGACAATCGCTCCGTAAGACATGTATGGAAAATAAATGCTTCCAGTGTTCTGTCTGCATCTGCACTGAGAGACTACAAATCAGTGACGCCCCAGAATTCCTCTACCAGCTTGGAGATCACCTGCTCAGGTAACACCATCAGTAACACCAACCATGATGGTAATCTCTCAAAATCAAGAAATCAAACATATTATCATAATAATTTCACATTAATATTGATAATAATTTCCAAATATTTTCAAAAGGAAATTTCCTGGAAAGAACTACTTAATTGTGAAAGCTATGAGTCAGCTAGAAACACCTGCTCACCTACAGTACTCACCTGTTTGGGTAAAGGAAAAGCTACACCTTTGATATGCCCTGTTGTAATGAATCTCATGTAATTCTCTCAATAATTTGTTTCTTTATAAAACAATCTCACCTCAAGGTCCATTTAGTAGCTATTCTGGAGCTTTCAATCATATCACATGGACAAGAAGTCCTTGAAGTGCTCAGAAAACAAGACTAAGAGTCAGGTTGCACTTTTAGTATTGGACAAATAAAAAATTGATTTGATGATGGTGCTACATGAAAAGGGATTACCCCTGAGAGGGAAATGAATGTCTACCAAATGTCACAGGATCACCAAAGTCTTTAGGATTATCTTCTGGGCACCATTGATATATGTACCAAATGTTGTCAAGGCATTTAACTAAAAGCTAAAATTGTGAATATCATGGTGGTGCTAGAGGAAAAGTCAGACTGTCATGGCCATTCATCAAATAGATGCTGAAATATTTCAGGACCAAAGTGGTGGACAGCTGCTGAAAATGTGATATGGTAAAGTGAAGGGTCACTAAATGGACCTTGTGGATAAAATAGTTTCCAAGGTCAAGAATTTACTTTGAACATCAGTTATTTTCTTGTCTCTGTTTGGAGCCTGATTATGTCTAAATAAGTGACCCGGACACGGTTTGTTAAATCATTTGCCCCAGCGTTTCCAGTGACTTTGCTCACTGATTGGACTGACAGAGTCTGGAGTTCCATGACAAAAGGGTGATCTGCTCAATCAACCGTCTCCCTTTGTCTTAACAGATTTGCTGTTTCAGCCAATGATCTCTATCTCTCCTTCTATCGATGGGATCTACGAGTCCTCCAACTTCACCATCAGCTGCTCCATTAAACCACAGTACCCAGGAGGCTCTTTCCAGCTCACCTTCAACACATCTAACACAGCAAACATCTACACCCAGAAAGCTGTGAATCACACTGCACACTTCCTGTTTCCTGCTGCAAACCATGGATACCAAGGGAACTATAGCTGTTCCGTTTTCTCTCATAAATTCTCCTCAGTGAGCCAGCCACTCCATCTCAGTATCTCAGGTAACAGGAAGTAAAGTGTAAAGCTGAATCACACAAGGAAACGTGCCACTAGCCGTGTTTACATTCAAGATCAAAAATGATCTGAAATGACACCAACACGGCACAGAGAGCATGTAATCGGCTGTTTACACATTCATTTTAAACCTGACTGATGATGTTTGGTTATTTCTAATAAGACTGCTTATATAATCTCCTGCCACTGATAATAAGTCTGAATCAGGCAATTAATATAACTGTTTTACAGCATGTATATCTTGTGTTAGCAATGCTTTTTATCATTTCAACAAAGAAAAGCATTGGCAAGATAATAAGCAGTATTTTAATTTGATCTTTGTGCAGACTTGTTACTTACTTAATGATTTGAAATAAATAAGACAACTGCACACTGGTACAAAGGAACTTCAGTTTTGTGATATTGGAGGTTTAAGGTATCTTATTTAAATGAAAGCTGTCGCACTCATGATATTCTGATTTGATGTGATCGTTGCAAATCTGTTTCAGCCTCTCCAACAGTTTTCATCGTAAGACTTGTTGGCCTGCTGCTGACTTTGGCATTGCTTCTTTCTGCCATTGGTCTCCACAAAATGGTATCTTGCATATGATTATTCAGTAGTACTGTTAGTATTTAACACTGTATGAGCGATCCAGTAACTTGAGTCTGCTGTCATGTCCCTTCAAACCACCAGGGGGCAGGAGTCAGGACGCCAGGAGAACATTGAGCTTGACTATTGCAACCTGCATCCAGAGCTGAAGGTGGGCCAAATGAAGAGGATGTGACCCAGGGAACAGATCTTTAAAGAGCTATTCTTTCAACTATATCATTTAACTATGCTTTTAAAAGAGTACATCACTGATTGAACAGACTTTGATGATGTTTAAAATCAGTGGACCCCCCCCTCGAGCCACATTTACAGTGTCATTCTGCGGGAAACACTGACATTGTTTAATTTTCAAATAACACCATATTTTTGTAATACTGCACATTGCTGCAGCTCCTCTTTTCACCCAGAGTGCTGAAGGATTCGTTTTAGTTACGGAGTGATGCATCTTGCCTCTACATGATCTTTGTTGTGAGTTTCACATGTGCAGTTCCTAGTTAAGGACTACTAAACAGGGCTTCAGTTCTGCTGGATGTGTTCCCCTTACCAGCTTAGCAACATGGACTGGAAAATTGGCGCTTGGCGAGCGTTATGACGCGCATTTTGCGGATGCAAGGGAAACGGCTGGACTACAAACGAGCTGTTTTCAGGCAATTCATAGCAATGTTTTCTGTGGGAGATGGGAAGATGAGATGGACTTTGGGCTTTTTCACTTTGCAAACATATTACGTGCACAGAAAAGATGTAACTCAATAAAGGAGAGGGAAAAGGCAAAAATACCACCATGTTACCATCATGTTCAGACTGAATGTAAAACGCATACAAGCTTTAATTTAATATGCTTTACTTCATTAATTACCTTGAATAGTTTTTATTAAAGGATTTCACTGTTCTTTTGCTTAGCCAATCATCTCATGCTGCCAAATGTGTTGTCATTGTTTGGTTTTATTTGACTTTATTTCTGCTTCACACATGAAGTCACTAAATACAAACAGACAAAAGTAATCCGAGTACTATTAATGCCAACACTGGTCACCTGGCATGTTGTTCCACTATAAAGGCCAGAGTCCTGTTACTATGCATCCTTACTTTTCAATCACAAGCTCTACTAAAAAATTCATTAGCTAGTCAGCGGTGGACACATCAGACAGTCTTCCAATGTATTATCTTTATGTTTTGATCAACATTTTCTCATGGAGAACAGATCCTTCTCATGATAACAAGTTATATTTTGAACAGGAAAAGTAGGTGAATTCACTGGAGATTATTACCATCTGCCCATATATACATTTTGAACTAATTATCATTTTAAAGTTCCAAACACCTTCTCAAAACCCTGTTTGTCTACCACACGTCCAAAATGAGTGGAGAAAAACAGCGTCTCCGGACTACTGTATCTCTTTAGTTTCAATATCTTCTCGTTTACGGAGTCCCCTGTATCTCCAATGGTCAAAACATCTGACACAGGCAGGTAGATATCATTGCGCCTGCCCCAGAAGGTGAGGTGGGACACTTTGAGCGTGGTCTGGGAAGGGTCCAGGTACATCATGCCCACAACCCTCCTGAAGAAATGACTGGCAGTGTACAGCATGACACCAGCGAACAGTGCTATCCCCGTTGTATAGCTGACAAGAAAGAAGGGGACGTCTCCCAGGAGGTAGAGGATGAACACGGGGGGTAAGAGGACCGTGGTGATTGTAGTTTGGAACAATTTGAGCCTGGACACAGCTCTGAGGAGCTTAATGTGCGGCAGGGTGTAAATCATAGTGTATTTCTGTGTAGACAAGTCCGAGTACCTGACCAGGGCTTTGATTTTAGGTGTAACGGGTCCATGGCATCTCTGCTGGATGGGTGTGTGACCTGGTGAATGAGGCCGCGCACTATAAGGTATCCGACCTGTGAGTAGACATGATCCTCTGGTACAGGAAAGGATGTGGAATGTTAACCTGCGCAGCAGCAATGACCTGATCTGTAGAAAATTAACAGAGAAATGTGACACTTCACAAGACCAAAACTATTTACTATTTTTTTTACTGTTTTTTAAGTAAAAAATACCAAACATCTATATATATATGTAATACAGTAAATTGAATATCTTTTGGACTGTTGAAAAAAGTGAAGACATGTGATTTTCTGACGTTTTACAGACCAAACGCTTGAGCAAAAAAAATTATCAGCACATAAATTGATAATTAAAATGACTGTTAGTTGCACCCTTATATGAAATTATAAAAAAAGCAATGCAATACAGCAACACCAATATAACTTCCACTACCAAATGTAAACATAAATGATACATACAGGTGTTCCTGTTATTTTGGCCACCCTGTGTGTCTAATAAGCATCAGCATGGCTGCAGCTGCACTTTGTGTGATATAACCTTTTATACAGTCTATTGAAATAACGTTAAAAATCCTCCTTGCAGGCAGTTGGATAAAAGTATGAGCAAAATATTATAAGTGCAATAAAGCATATCTAATTTGTTTTCATTCACGTATTAATTAGAAATGAAGTAGACAGAACAAAAAAATATAATAGTATGGTAACGTTAGGTAAGTATAAATTAAACACATTAAAGATACACAACTACTGACTGTCTTTCATTCCAGGTAAAGCAGCAGTTAGCTTATGTGCCTAATAATTCCACTTTCACGTTGTTTTTTTGATCTCTTGCCGGACAGTGAAAACATTATAAGAGTTTAAGAAAGAAAGAGGCTCACCATGACCGGGGACAGGCTACGACTCCTGTTTTTTTTAGAAATACGACACTCGCCAAAGGTAACAGTGTGAGAGGTTCACTAACTAACAGTTGTTAGCTAAAATGAAGTGCACCCACAGTGACCCGGATGTACTCATAAATGTTTACTGTTTTTTTATATTTTGTTTGCTCGTGTGCCCTCTTGCGGGGTAGATGAAAAGTATCACTTAAGATACATTTAATTTAATTTTTATATAAAAAAATAACCCCTGAATCTAAACCTGTAAGTGTTGCTGTTGTAGTATTTTGTCTGTGGCGGAACCATAGACGTTTATATATGTCGATGACGGAAGCGACACTTGCGGTCACATCCTCCATGGATGTAACGTTATCCGCTGCTGAGTGCGTTAACTGAAAACATTGTTTCTTCCTTTTTCTCGTCTTATGTCATACCAGTTGTTGGTTTTGTCCGGGTCCGAAATGTTTTATCAATCGGTTTCGGTAGTTAATGTTATCACTCAACTTGTCGGAGCATGATCTTATCCCCGATAGGGCGTCTGGAGAGAGTAACGGGTAACTTAGCTAGCGTTATACTGAGCGGCGGCGGCGGCGCATTTGTTACCAGGTGCTAAGTTACGTTCTGTTCTTTGAAACAAGTCAGAAAGACAAAGGTGGACAACAATGCTGCAGATGGGAGAAGAAGTCACTCTGTACTCGGTCGTCTTCGTGGCGCTTCTGCTGGGGACACGGAGTCCGCTGTGGACAACCGCCCTCATCGCCTCCCTCTATTTCTTTATGGCCATGTTCCGGTTCCCCCAGGTACCGAGCAGCCGAGCCCGGCAGGTGCTGCACCCAACACAGGGCACGGCGGGCTCCGGCAAGGTGTCGGTGGTCGCTCACCGGGGCGGTGGACACGACGCACCGGAGAACACGATAGCAGCCATCCGGCAGGTGAGAGGAGGGTGGAGGTTGGTTATATTTCTCCTCTTAACGTGTCCTGAGACTGTTCCTCTCACTCACAGCCTCCCACAGTGTGTGTTCCGATTGGGCACCGCTGTCGTCTGACAAAATTTAAAAATGTAAACTGACAAGGACTTAAATTTGCACACTATATCAAGCGACCAGGATTTACCCCTCCACCAGGACATCATGTCCCATAACTACTGGTAACCAGCACATTCAGCACTACAGCTGCACCAGTATCCACACCGCCATTCATTGCACTATCCATAGCAGGCCAGTAGTGCACAGTAGCCTGTGTGACTGTTTCTCTATGGCCTGACCAAGACTGTATTTTTACACTCACACCGATATTCATATTTGAGAGTTTAAAAATACTGATAATGACACTGACATTGAATTTGACAAATACACCTGTTAATGCTTTCCAGCTCTAATGAGGTTAAAGCTAGGGTTCTCAATGATTTTCAGCATTTTAAGTGAAGATTTCTGGCCATGACCAGAAATACTTGTGTCTTATTTGTCTGTCTTGCTCTAGGCCAGTAAGAACGGGGCGACGGGCGTGGAGTTGGACTTGGAGTTCTCAGCAGACGGCGTCCCAATACTGATGCACGATGAGACTGTGGACCGGACCACCAACGGATCAGGACCACTCAGCCAGATGAGATTGTCTGAGTTGGGTAAACTAGACGCAGCTGCTAAACATCGGCTCAGGTAAGAAAAAAGGATACAGGTAGGAATGCACATGGAAGCACGCACACAGATTTTTTTTCAGGCATTTAGTGTAGCTTGATGCTTTAGATTTAGGAAGAATCAGGTTTTTGAAGTAGGTTTAAGTTACAGATACAGGGTAGTATTTTGTGCCTTTTCCACCGATTAGTTATTACTGTGATGCACTGACATTTTCCATTAAAATGCAGACTGATGACAGTCTTTTAAAAGTAGCTGCTCCTTAAGACAGGTTGAGAAATTTAAATATGAAACAAAACGACAAGAAAACCTACTATGAAGATATACAATCAGTAGTGGGATTAAGATTGTAGCGTATGTTTGGAGGAACTGATGAGTCAGTAAATCGTCTGTGTTAGCTTTTTATTAGTATTTCTGTACACTAAAAATCTGCAGTGATGACACGCTGCATGTATAGCATGTAGACTTGACATCTCTATAAAATAAGAGGCTGTTTGCGGTCGATTAATCGTTTATAAAGCCAGTGGTGGTGAGAGAAATGAAAGCTGATTGGCACAATATTTGACAAAAAAGATAAAAGGAAGGGATAATTTGGGAGCAGTGTTTTTGCTATAATTAGCACACTTATTTAAGCCTTGGATGTGGCAGCTGGTAAGACAAGTCATACATGTTTTCTGCGCTAGCCGGAAGTTTAAAGTGTTGAATGCTGTAGGTTACATTATATTTATAGTGCTTTGTGACTTATGTTTGCTTGCATGTTGTTTATGCACCAATATGCTGGTTTTCTGTTAGAAAAGTACTTTCAACAGTAGATTTGCCCCGTACAGAATATCTTGTTCAGGTAGAGCTGTTGCGAATGCTGAATTGATCCTTTTACAGTTACATGTAGAGATGTCTGATGGTGTAAATCTGTGTCAGGGATAGGGCTGGGCAACAAAACAATAATGATAGCGCAATATAATTTTTCTCAATATCAATCAAATAAATGTTCAATGTATCATCAATAACATGGTTTAATTCATTTGAATCACGGACAAATTAGCACTTAATTTTTCTATTAAAATATTTATTTTGTTGAGGAGAAGGGACTGAAAAATAATTTACTAATCATATTTGTAAACATTTTTTTTCTATCTATCTATCTGTCTATCTGTCTATCTGTCTATCTATCTGTCTATCTGTCTATCTATATAGTTCTGAATGTTCTCCCTCAGATTTGTTAAGTGATCCACTGTTTGGCATCAAGTGTTTGTCACATTCTGACCATAAAGAAATGTTTAACCACATAATTAACCATCTGGATTCTTCAATTTTCAGTCAGGAGCAAAATTCAGCCTTTAAACTTCAAAGAAATAACTATTTGACATTTAACGTGATAATTATCGATATCGAATGATATGAAATGTTTTTATCATGATAACATTTTTGACCATATCGCCCAGCCCTAGTCCAAGACAATAAATAAAACACTAAAAGGAGATATAGAAGATAAAAACACACAGAGAGGCAAGTTGCTATTAATACAGAGGCATGCTGTTGGCAGTGCATGTGAGACAAATAACCCAGAGGGTTTCTAAAATGGCTCACTTCAGAGCAAACAAAAGAAGAAAAAAGCAAAATGGCCCCGAAAGGATAAGAAGTTAGAATGTAGCTTGTATAGACACATATTTAAACACCATCTAGGACTTTGCCATAACAAGATTTAATATAGAAAGTATTATGGTGAGTGATACAGAAAACTTCACCAAGATATAAGATATTAAAAAACACACAAAAAAAGTAGATTTACAGAGGTGACAGTATCTGCTCTGTTAGGAGATTTTGCTACCCCAAGGCCCCGAACGCCTCCCGCTCGTCAGTGTAACAGCCGTTGATTAGTAGGTGGCTTTATCATTCTAATAGAAGCTTGGCATGTAGATGTCTACAGGGCAGTACTTGAAGTTAACACTGCAAATATCACACAGGTGATGTGTGGAAAATATCTGACAATGTGTGGTTGATGTGTCAGTTACTACTTCAATTCTAAATGGCTGATTATCAGTGGTTCTGAAGGTACAGCTCTCAAAAAACAGCTTCCTGTTTCATGGCGAGTAATTACTCGCCAAGGCTACATTATTTAAAAAGAACTCAAAAGTTTCACAATGTAACATCATTAAAGCGTTATGGCTTTCCTGCAGAACTTTGAGATGGATGTGGTCAACCTGCTATGTGAAGCATATATTCCTCTCTATGGACATTTCTGTCCCTAAGGTCCTAGTGTGGTTAAAAAAATGAAGGTACCAAAACCGATACAGTTTGAAACATGTTCTTTCCAAATAGCAGTATTGTGATTTTGGGACAGATCTGACCGTGTCTAGTTTATTTACATGCTACATCCTTTTCATGGCGAATCATCAAAATTGAATGCCACGCCATGGACACACATGTGGGTCGCACTGCCCACATTTGAAGTTGATCGGGTTAAAGCTGTAGAAGGAGTTTGTTAAAGTATGGGACCTATAAATGGAGGTAGATCAGACATTCAATGCAATATGGCCAACCTCCTGTTGGGTTAAGCATATGGCTCCAAGAGACTGGGGCTGCTCCTTTCAGATCTTGCAGGGGGAGCTATAGCGCAGTTTTTCCAAAACACATGCCCTTGAACAGTATCAGACATGTCTATGATGTCTCAAAATACAGCTTCCTGTTTCATGGCGAATAATGTGTTGCCGTTTGACATTAACTCACAAGCTTGACAAGCTTACATCATCTAGGTCTTAAGGCTTTTTTGAGACAGTTTTGAGCCAAATTGGATTATCCTGCTAGGAGGAGTACCACAACAAATAAAACATGTCACTTCCTGTTGCCACTGGGTGGCGCTATCTCTACGACTGGATATTGGGCATGTGGATGTCTTCAGGGACTCTTTTACTAGACATTTAATAGAAAGTAAAAGACAGCTATAAATGTTTTTATGGCACAGGAGCAAAAAGTCTGTAGAAACGATTATAATCGCTTTAGGGCCCTAGCAGTTTTTATATTACCCAGGAAGAATGTGTCAAATAGATGCTAAAAGCCTTTATATACAGAGACTCATCAGCATTATCACATGCATTTCGTCATAATCCAGGCAAGGACAACTTACGTGTATCTAAGCATGATATACATGTGAGCCTGGAATCACAAAGAAACATTTGTGTCCTTCGCTGCCAGGGACAAGTTTGCCGGAGAGAAAATCCCAACCATGGAGGAGGCAGTGGAGGAATGCATCAAGCTGAAGCTCACCATCTACTTTGACGTCAAAGGTCATCCAGATGAGGTGCAGCCAACAAAACTAACGAACAAAACAAGACTTGATTATGTGCAGTCCGTGTGTCATACTTGTTGATTTAACTGATCTGTCAACATTGCAAAATGAAGAGAGCGTAATAATAACTGCCCTAGTACAAAATGATCATAATACATCTGCAGGGGTTTGAGAGGGTTCATGTTCTCATGCTGAAATAACTAGTAAGTTAATTAATTAATTAATAGCAGTTACCAATGACTTTACTTATTACTCAGGGTGGAAAGTAATCCCATTACTTATTACTGTCATTTTGTGTGACTTTCTAAAGGTAGCACCAATCCTGTCATACATCTCTTGTTGCTGATGGATTTCCTCCACTATGCAGATACAAAACACCTACTTTCTCCCTGTAAAAATGAAGATAGTGCATTATGCTACTGCATTACTTAAAAAAGTAATGTGATTACAGTTAACACCCAACACTGATATGAACTCTGGTTGTTGATCAGGCCAGTAAAAAATCTAATCTTTGGGTTTGTGTAATCAGTGTGGAACACAAATAAAACACAGGTAGGTTAGTTAATAGTTAAATAACCTTTATTGCATGCCTTATAATTACCAGTGGGTTACAATTCTCTTTGGCAACCCCTATACTGTAAGGCGTCCAACAAGTGTTGGCGTCCAACACTTGTTCCAGTTTGTTCTGTACTTTGGAACAAACCAAACCCACAGACATGCACACATTATCAGCTGCTCACATTTAATAGTTGATTGTCATGGGCATGTTTTGTTAGCGTGGTAATTGTTTACTTCTTCACTACATTGTTCTTGTGGATTTGTGCTCACACAACTTAGAATACTAATATCTGATGTGAAAATAAGACTTTATTGTTTGTGTCAGTGAAATACAAACTGAACCAGAGACCTAGTTGAAAGATGCAGTCAAGTCATTTCCTTAATGCCACTTAGACTGCAGTGTCCATACCATTGAATTCTGCATATAAAAATGCAAGTTTAAATCTTCCATCAGAGTACTTCTCACCACTTGACAAGTGTTTTCTTGCTCAGCGCATTCTTAGATGAATAAGGAATGCAGAGCTGCTCTGGTGGTTGTTGTTTTAGGCAGTTGAGTTCAGGGCCCACAGCAGTGTCTACACACACACACACATACACAGCTGCTAGTTACCACCAAGTGGTTGGACAGGAACACACACTTAAAGCCTCACACATACAACTTTTTAAACATTTGACTGTCCAACAATGACTGTGTTTCTCCTCCGCTCTCAGGCAGCTGCAGCCCTTAAAGAATTGTATAGAAAACACCCAGTCCTCTACAACAGCAGCATCGTCTGCTCCTTCGAGCCCAAAGTCATCTACAGGGTAAGAAGACTCTTTTGAAGTTGTTCGGCCAGTAGTGTATACTGCGCCTGAACAATGACAGATTTGCTGTGTTTGTCAAACTGCTGTGGAACAAAAGCAGACGCATTTTGATGAGTTTGGGTCACCAACCAGCACACATATCTGCCACCAACACCAAATGATATGGTTTGTTCTGGTCACATCCCTCACATGTTGCCTGCGTAAACCTATATTAAAACAGGGTTTAAACACTTTGACCATAAGCTAACTTTCCATGTTGTCTATGACTTGGAAGCCTGACCACTGTGGGAAGATGAACTTGCAACTCAGGGGATGCTGTTACAACATATCTGCTGTATATAACTGTACTTTGATGGAACAACATATTTCTTCATATTTTCTCTGACCAGTGTGGGTCTGACAGACAACAAACGACAGGCTTTCTGTAAGAAAGTAACACTTTTCAATTGATCTTCTGCACATGCAAAAATGTAAATGACAGTTATTTGCTTCATAGAGGGCCATTTTGAGCTATAAAATGCTATACCCAACAGCCTGGTATGTGTGTATTACTACAACCACGTTGGAAGAAAGAGATTTTATTTGGAAAAAATAAACAGGCTAGCTTCATGTCTCGCTTTTCTCCCCCCATTGTCTCATACTGTCTGATTAAATAAACTAAAATATGTGTTTACATTCCTGTCATGTATTGCATTGCTGTTGTATCTACCATATTGCCAACATACACTATCAATTAATCTTTGTCTCTGCTCCACTCTTGTCCAGATGAGACAGAGTGACCCAAAAGTGGTCACAGCATTGACCCACCGCCCGTGGAGCCTGAGTCGGCTTGGAGATGGTGCCCCACGTTTCTCGTCGCCGTGGAAACATCACTGGACCTCATTAATGGACGTCGTGTTGGACTGGGCGCACCATCACGTACTATGGAAGCTCTGTGGCATCTCAGCCTTCCTTGTACAGAAGAACTTTGTCTCACCGTGAGTTTCTGCAGGGCACACAGTCATTTAATGTCACAATCAACCACAATCTAAATTCTGTATTTAATCAGAGCCATTAAATGCCAAGAACCCCATTTAGGGACAGTGCAACCTGCTTTATTACATCCTGAATTTTGTGTTTTATTATATTACATGTTTATTTATATGTTATAAATATTATAGTAGAGCTAAGATGTCATATCAGACTACAATACAACTTTAATTAAAAGTGTCCCAATTAGACACTGGCCCCTTTAACTGGCCGGGTGTGGCTACACCTTGTGACAAATAAAGCAGGTTTCTATAGAATCGGGTCTGGTTTTTATACAAGTTCTCTGGATAAATAAAACCTCTGAAAGCACACTGGGTTGCCTGCTTGAGCTAGTTCAAAGCTGCTTATTTTGCGCATGCAAATATACATGTTTAAACTTTTGTCTACATGGACATGCTACACGTAGACATACACATTCTCCACAATTCAGCCGTTCAGTTGATTTTACAGAAACTATGAGCACTAAAGTGTAATTCATTCAGATTTACCAGCGTGGTACATCCACTTAATCCAAATTGAAATAACTATGGGAACCTTCAGCCTTTATTCTTTGGAAGGTAGGCTACCACTACTTTGACACAGCGCGCGCTCTCTCTCTCTCTCTCTCTCCCCCCCCCCCTCCCCCTCCCTCCCTGCATGAGGTTGGCCTAGATGCGTTGTCTCTCAAAGCTAGAACAAATGAACGATTTGTAATTGATATGTTATTCGATAGCCTCATTTTTATACTAGTAATTTCTGTGTGCTGCTTGCAGGGACTATGTCCAGTACTGGGCCCAGAGGGGGGTGGATGTGGTGGCCTGGACAGTCAACACAGAAGTGGAGAAGGAGTATTACCAGGAGTTACTACAAGTTAGCTACATTACGGACAGCCTTGTGGAAGACTGTGAACCCCATTACTGAGAAACACGTGAAGCAGGCGAACAATGCGTTCACACACATACCCCTCAAAAAAGACAAAACCCACATGAAAGGAAATTTTCACTGCCCACTCCTCACATAATGTGCCACTAGCCATTCCATGCACACTTTCATTATGGTGTGTGTGTGTGTGGGTGTAGGTTTATTTGAGGCAGTCAGAATGGGTGCTATACATAATAACAAGAGGCCTAGGTTGCGTCCAAAAACTCTTTTTTTGCTTAGGAAGGTTCCTAACTGAGTGAAGTGAAGTATTTCAGTGGAAGCCATGATAAGAGCTGTTCGAATTCTCTAAAAGCGAAGGAAGGGAGCCTCAATGCTTCTATTCATATCTCCTTTAGCATAGGGTACACCGGACCATCCTTTAAGAAAGGAAAGGAGAGAATGCCGTCCCACAATTCCTTGTAGCGACAACATTTAAAGCAACACACGTTCTCAAACTTAAAGATAAAATCCATTGACCGCATTTAGCAAAATCCTATCAATACAGACGCACATTATGATTCTTGAATAAGACTCACAATTTCCTTCTTTCTTCTGGTTTGTTTTCTTTAGGCTTTGCTGTAATCTAATGCTGTTTCAACACGATTTTATGTTTCGGATCGTTGAAATAAACTATAAAGTGTTGTTATTATAATTTTCTACAATAAAAAAAAACCACTGTTTACTGTTTACATACATTAATTGGGATTCATGTTGATAAATATGGGTGGGCAGAGGGTGAGTGAGCAAGCATTCTCAATGTGACAACCCTTTCCATTATTTGGTGACTGATAGGTACCCTATAGCCCATGCCTTTTTACTATTTTGATTATGAAGCTAATATTCCACCATGTTGTCCACTTTTAGATGGCCTGCATTAAAGCAACATGGGGCGCAGTGTCAAAGATGCGCTTTTTGTAGTCCATCTTCTGAACATTGTTGTTTCATCATGGCAGCTCACGTCAGTAACATCTCCCGTCGCATAATTATGTCGCTTAGAAAAGAGCACTCGGATTCTCTGAGCCCCACGGCCCTTTTTTCCAAAGTCCTTACGAATTCTCCTTCACATCGTTCCTTGACCTCATGACATTTTCTATCGAGGTCAAGGAAAAGTGGTGAAAAGTGACTTTTTGCACGCAGCCCTAGTAACATCCTTTATCCTGATTAATCATATTTCTCAGACATGTTGAGGCACCTGATGTGCATTTATAGACACTTTGATAATTAGTGTCTATAATAGGCCTTAATCAAATGTACTGTATTCACCAACTCAGGATTGCAAACATTGTTTTTCTTGGTCTGCGTGTCTGTCTTAATGTTTGTACTTTTTACTCAGTGAAGGCCAGTAGGAAGTAAACTACCTACAAATCATTTCTATCACTCATCAAACTAATTATTCTTACTTATTTAGAACTTATCTTCGACAAATGCACATATAGAGTTGAAATGTAGAATAGAACAAGATTGGCTCACAAATAGTGAGTTTTTCACCTTGCCTCACTTTTATATGCGTTGCAAACTTGTCATTTTTGTTTTCTATTTAAAATTAACATTATTTTTGTTTGAGAAACAATGTGGTTCGTGGTTGTGAAGTCAGACTTCTGTATCTGTTGAGCAGATGCCACTGACCCGGTATCTTCTTCTTCTTTTCAAGCTCAACCACACGCTTATATGCTCCTGTTCAGCAGCAGATGAGGAATTACTGTCGAGTACACTTTAGTATCACAGTACTGCAAGTGGAATGTAGTAGGACAGTACAGAGGAACAGAAAGGGAGGAGCAGTGAAGTATGTTGGAGTGAGGAATTAAGTTGTGACAGTGCAGCGTGTGAGAATGTATGAGGCTTCAAAAGTGGAGCAGATTTACTGACATTTGTCCTCAGATGATTGCTGCCAGTCAGCTAAACATACTGACCTTTGACATAAGGCAGCAGCACCTCACATACAGTACAACGCATGGCCTTTATGACCGCAGGCATGTAATAAGCAGAAGCACGGGTGTAACTAATAACACTCACGACATGTACATTGCATTTAGGTGGATGTGAGCTGTTCCAGTGATCTAGCATCTGCAGTATCATGTCCCCAGAACTGGAAAACCTAAATGGAATACAGCCACAATTAATTTTAATTACATTCTGTTTTTTGTTTTTTTTTCAGTTTTCAGACTGGACAGTGCTCTGAAATAAGTAAATAGGAAAGCTAGACTGCTTTTGTTTATATGCTCTTTGACCCAAATATCAACCTCATCTGCATTTGATCTGTGTTTGATTTAATCTAAGCTGACTTGACATTCAAATCATTCAAAATGATTAATGATTTAATGAAGGAAAAGGTGAAAGACTTATTTCACTGTTCAAAGCGGAAGAAATAAATCATGATACTTTTATGTCATAGCACTGAATGTGTTCTTCGGAGTGGAAATCATGTATAAAATGCTGGAGATCTCATTTCAAGGTGACGTTGTCCTCTCGCTCCTTGGGACATTTGAGACCTTGAGACAACAAATGGGTCCCTAAAGCTGTTCAAGCTGACATTCTTAAGCCAGGCCCTACGCAGGACTAAAATGATTCAGCAGATCAACACTAAAATGAATGCAGTACTCATTGGCATACAGTCTCAGAAGTCCAGAAAATACTTTTGAAGGAAATGTTTCTGGCCATAAACACTTTATTAAAGTCTAAAACTAATACGAACTGTGCAGCCTTTCTTGAATATATTGGGAACAAAGCACTTTGAAGAAACAAGCTCTCAACTGATGGGAAATTATCTACCTTGATTAATAGCGAACATCTGTCCACACTGTCTTAATCATCTTTTGGCTGTAAAAGTACATGGGCAATGTGACAGCTGATAAATGTATCTTCTACAACACAGGGACCATCTCAGACCATGGTTTGACCTCTGCTGTTAATGCTAAGCTGTAGTGTGGACTGTTGATTATTAGCCTCTTGGCCTGGAGTCTCCGGTGATTGGCCCAGATAGTAAAGATGAATGGGGTGCGAGTGGGAGGTGTAGTGGTGGATATTACACTGGATAAGCCTGTCTGAGCCACTTCTTGTCCCGGCTGATCTTCAGTTACTAAACACATGGGCTCAGGTGATTTTCACCTGAACACACAGGTTACCTGTGATACCTCTGTGAGAGATCTGAAGATCTTAGGGAAGCTCCAAAGGTATCCAGCAAAAGACGCCCTGATATGAATGCTATAGTGGATGATCTAGAACTGGAGATATAAAAAAATATATATGTTTGTTTTAAATTCTTGTGTGACACTATGCATGCTGCCAGTCCTTAGAAATATGATTTTAATGGTAACATTTAGTCAGGCTGCTTAGTTATTATTCAGTAATCTGCAAGGTTCGAAGCAAATCTACAAACTGCTGAAAAAGTTTTTGAAAAACTTTTATTTGAGTTTTCTACATGACTGTCAACACACGTTTCTCAATCTATGCGTTTGGTTTAATAGGTGAAAGGTGATCGCTCCCGCTCCTCCTCTAAAACCCCGTCTTGGGGGGCGTGTAGTGACGTCACTGTGGGGGATTGCCCCTCTCCACAGAGAACCAGAAACAACGAGAGCGGAAGTGAGGAGACTAACTTCAAAGTAAAAGCCATAAAAAAGGTAGGGGGGTAAGATTGTAGAGAACTTTAAAATCAAAGCGACACACAATAATTAATAAAGCCTAAATTCAACATTAGAAAATAATTGAAAAGGTGACATGATAATGATGGTTGGACGTTTTGCATAGTTAAAAAATAACTGCATTTTACATAAAAGTATTTGAGTCAGCGTTATTGTGGGCAGCTGCCACTGTGTTTATTCTTAGTATCTTTTCACTCATTAGTTGTATCCTGTGGTATCTAGCCATACAGACAGTGTTCATTTGCCCGTTTATTTTTCGATCATAATGAAAGCAAATGGAATTTTTTTTCTTTTGTGATGCTAAAATTATTGAAAATATATTTTCTTTTTTTCAGAAACCATGTCCCATTTACTCTGGATAACCTCATGTTTTAATTACTTTACATTGAATAAATAAAAAAAACAGTAATCAAATCCATTAAAGTATCAAATGACAACAAAAACTAACAGTGACCGCAGAAACAATGCAGGATATTCACATTGAAGTATAAAAATATATCGCAGCAAAACACACATCCTAGTCCTTATCCATTTAAAGACAATCACAATTTTCCCAGCTCATATGCACTCTATTTGTATTTGCATTTACAGGACGTCAAATAGCACATTATTTTCCATGTGGGTTAAACACTAAACGTGCTTGGAAGACTGGATTTGATATAGCGTGTGTAATCAAAAATAGTGTTTCATTTTGAAAGTTCTGACAGGAAGTCTTGTTCTTCATTCTGCGTGGCTTGACGCTGTCCAAGCATGTTAGCTTTCCGTCCTGATGAAAATATCAAAGTGTGTAGTGTCCTTGTATTCTGTCAGCGAGCGGAGCTGTTGCGGTCAGTCCCGGAGCCTCAGTGGAGCACAGAGCGCAGAGTGTCCGGCCTGCAGTGTCACTGTCCCCGGACGTCAGGAACCATAGTGTCCCGGCTCTGACTGACTGATCCCCGGCACGCGGAGCCGCTTTCTCCTTGGATGACCTACACGCAACCTCTCGCACGACCAGCGGACGTCGGTTCACTACAGCTGAACACCTGCTGGGTAGTAGGAGAAGCGGGGTACGCATTAACACACAGCGGACAACAAGTCAAAGCGAGTCTCCTGCAGGTTTCAGGCCGACTCTGGAGCAGCTGACCTGGGGAACTAAAGACGACGCTGCGATTTCCCCCCCATCGTGGCTGCGTCAGGAGGAGCGGGCAGAGGACTGGAAGTTGCAGAGTTGACAGTCGCCTCATAACGTTACCTGACAAGACAGACAGCCTTACAGCACAGACACTACAGAGTTTCTGGAGGTTACTGGCGCTCACATGATGTACACAATCACCAGAGGTCCCAGCAAACTTGTTACACAACGGAGGACAGGTCAGTGAATGTGTCCGCTATCTAAAGCGTGATGCAATGTGGCATCAGATTGCTTTTGCACCGTGAAGGGAAAGTTGTGGATCACTGCAACAGTTCAAACGAGTCAGTGTTGGCATGCAGAGGGTTCACAGGTAACTAAACTCTGGAATTTTGTCTCAAAGGTCCCACACAACAAATCGAGAGCAAATTCAGCGACTTGAAGCTCAAGCCAACGTCTTGGCTCTCATCGAAGTAAGTAGCTTGTTTGTGGTGTTTTTGTTGTTGTAAAATAGTTTATGCGGGCTGATTGAATAGTGTGCGCTGAAAATACACTGCACGTGCGCCGTGAGTGCGATCATGTAACACGTCGGTGAGAATTAGGTAACATCGCTGCATCCATTATCGGACACAACTTTCAATGCAGCTTCTCGGTCCGGCGGTACCGTCCACTACCGCGTGACCTTGCGCGAAATAGCCTTGCATTGGCATTGGACCCCACCTGCCCTGCTGTGCCTCTGTCAGGTGCTGCTCGGGAAACACCGACATCCATTTTACGAGACAGTATGCCAGTTTACAGCTACACCTAGCTAAACTCAATGCAGTCTGTTACATCAGTTCTACCTCATTGACATAAAAGGGGGTGGACAGAATATTAGAAACACCATCTATTGTTATACAATTCAACAGCACCACAAACTAGAGCCTCTAAACTGTACGAGAATGAAACATAAGCAGTTTCAATTGAACAGCAACATTATACATTCATGTAAGTAGGATGTCAGGACTGTATAAGGATGCATTAGTTGTTGCAAGGTGTACCTAATAAACTTTGGAGTCTTATCCGGTGCATCTCCAGCTGAAAAACGGCCTTTTATATCAGTAAAGTTAAAAACAAAACAAATAAACAAACAAACTTTTAGTGCCAGTGGATATATATCTATCTCCAGATATTTATATCATTATCAAGATTTAATATGTAGCTGTATAGGATGAAAGCCTTTCCTGACAAGATGTTTCATTTTGAGTAAATGTTGCAAGTGTTGCTTTTTCTCCACTGTTAGAAACTCTTGTGGTCTTACTATTGCTTTACATTACTTTGCCCTTTTCCTGGTAGTTGTTGGAGGTCATTCAGGAATAAAAAAAGTAACATTCGGTCATTGGAGCAAAAATTAAACAAAGCATAAACTCTCTGAACTCCCTACTGATGAAGGCTGACAGAGGAATTATTGTTTGTTTGTCAAATCACTATGTACAAGGTAAGGACTGAACCTTCATGCTCAATTTGTCTAAAAGTTTTAAGTCAACCTGAGGATGCAGGCATCACCTCGTGGTGTTAAGTAATCCAACACAAAGTCCATTTACATGCCTGTCAGTTCATATAACGCTTGTGTTTTGTAGCAGGCGGTCCCAATCCCCGAGCTGACATTCTTTAATTAACTTTGTCTGATCTTTCCAGCTCTCCGCCCCCAAAGATTGTGTTCAACCGTCTGAACGGGAAGCGCTACCACAGCGGGGCCACACAGAAGACCTCCAGCCCAGCAGAGGGATTCACTCCCGCACATGAAGAGAACGTCAGATTTGTGTATGAAGGTGAGGGTCGCAGGATCAGTGCGTGAGTGGATGTGGGTCACAGTGCAGACCTCCAGGGCCAATCCGTAAGTTTACAAGGGTTGTGAGGATGGAAACATGGGAATTGTGGAGGGCAGATTATCCATATGAATTTTTTTTAAAACTCCTTTTCAACAGGTTTCTTCTTCATTAACTTCAGTTAGAGCGGAATTAATTAGTCGATTTAATTGACAAATCGATCAACAGAAAATTAACCTGCACAAATTTTTATAACCAATTTCAAGAAAAGAAATTCAAATGTGGGGATTTGCTGCTGTTCTTTGTGATATATTTGAGTTTTTGACTGTTGGTAGGACAAAATAAACAATTTAAAGACTTTCATGCTGTCACAGCTCCACAGCAATTACCAATTTGGTTGAATATACAGACACACCTTCAACAGCAGCCTCACGGATGAAATTTAATGTGACACTATTGCAAGCACTCAACAGAGAGTACTTTAGAAGAGAGTGTTTTATAGAGTGTATTATAGTCAATAAGACCCAACAATGATTAAAAACCAGGACTTGAAGTTACCCAGCCATGACTTGTATAGCTGAATCGGCATGAACCACATGTCTGTGTTACTCTTGGACGGCTGCCAGAAGGGACTGCTCTGTGGCGTCCTTTTGTGACCCACTTGGGGAAGAGCGCTTCATTGTTCTTCACTGCTCGCACCTAAAGAAACGCCTCCAACACAGTCTGTCGAGTTGCTTTAAGATAGAAAACCTGGTCTGAAATTTCAGCTGGATGTCACTGACAAAAAAAATGCTAGTAAAGAAATTGACAACAAACATCACTTCCAAACAGGTTTAGACATTATTTCCCCCTCCCCTATGCACACACACACACAAAGAACATATACTAATTAATCCGGTTTTTATATTTGACATCCACAAGACACAGACAAAACCTTGAAGCTGGAATCCTTCACCCACAGCAGATAAAACACACACACCACAGACCGGTTTAGCCCCCGAAGGGTGCTGGGATGTTTCAGTGTCGGGTGTTTGTTCAGAAATGCGGTAAGAAATTCAAAGAAAATGTCATTCTCAAGTTAAACACACACCTACACCCAGGTAGCAGTTAAAATCCAATTCCTGTTGACAAAGTGTGCATTTAAGTGAACTCAGCATCTACTTGTATGTGTTGGTTTGCTTGCAGCATGGCAGGAAGTGGAGCAGAAGCTGGGGGGGGGTGGAGGGGAGCCAACTGACTGCCAGGGACCCATTCAGTATGCTGAGAAGACTCCCAGTGCTGAGATGAAGAGTAAGTACCTGCAGCTCCTCTCTCCACTTTCACACAGGGATCATTTTGATTAAGGTACAATACCTGTTCATTCACCTGCTTAAATTCTTCAAAATACGACAACAAAGTAAATTCGCCCTCATTAAATTTAATCTCGCTACTCACTTTTATTGCATTCTAACAGATAACCCTCTTTCTGCTTTGTAACCCCCACCCCCTGAACTTTGAACCAGTAATCTTGCAATGTTTTCATTTTTCCTGGTTACTTTAACACCACAGGAAAACTGAATGGCCGGCCTCGTCTCTCCGCGGAAATTACATCAAGTGCTTTTTGGCTGTGCTTTATCTGCAGGCAAAGGGCAACTGTTGTAATAGTCTGGGCTAATTTTTAACTCTTTTTTTTGGTCTATGGGAACCTCACTGCTGGTTGTAACGCGTCTCATGTTGGCCCACACTTGTCTGCTCTGGTTCCTTCTGTGGCACACTGCCCTGAAAGGTTGTGACACCTAAAAGGACAATAAAAAAAAATGTAATTTAGGATTTTGAGGCACTTGATTCTTATGAATAGTAGTTACCGTATGTTAAATCTAAAAGTGAGTCCTAGTGTCTCATAAACAGTGCCTTGGATCATCTTTATTTAGCCTCCCTGATTCTAGGGATGGTGGTGTCGGTTATTGGTTCCACCACTTTGGTCAAAACGGAAATGTCTGAACTATTGGGTACATTATGTTCAGACATTCATGTTCCCCCCTCAGAATGAATAATCACTTTGATGATCTGACTTTTCATCCAGCGCCTTCAGCAGGTCAGAATTTTAATGTGTACAATACTTTATTTCACAGCCAAGTACCTGTAACACTGACGTTCCCATCAGCCCTAACTGTTAACTTAGATCATAGCACCAGTGTGCCCAAATACAGTGTCACAGAGCCGCTAGCATGGCTGTATATGTTTTAATGGTACTACTTATTTGAAAGAGCATTTGTACTCCTAATGTTTGTTTTCCCTCTAAACAGATGTTTAACTTTGAGACACCGAAATTCTAACTTATATTTCAAGAGAAAACCAGTTTGCCTTTTGGTTTTGTACAAGATGATACACCCGCTCTGTATAAGAATACATTTCTACACTTAGTTGGCATTTTGTCACTCCTTGTTTTGGGTTTTTCATCTTGCATCGATCAGCTGTTTGTATCATGTGACAAAATTAATAATTAATGAATGATAGAACATGGATAATGCTTTCATTCTTTGTCCCCTCTGTTGTCTTTGTTTCTGTGCAGACTTTGTTCCCATAGACTTGGAGGAGTGGTGGGCTCAGCGCTTCCTTGCCAACATTGCCAACCTGTCATGACCGGGTGAGGCTTTGAGCCGGGACAGGACGCATCCCGAAGGTGGACAGGAGGCGAGTCAGTCTCCAGGATATGCGGTGCAAAAGGGTCATGCGTAATTTGGAATCTGATTTGATGCCCTGTGCTTCACGCCGCTGTAGAGAAAACTGGTTGCACAAAACAACTCCTCCCCCCCGGTGCAACAACAGCAACCTGACTGTGGATTTGACAGTGTTGACGCATGGTTGTGCTGCTATGAAGGAACAGTCTCTCGCTACTTCAATGACATATCGGATAGAAGCAGAGTTTGAAGAACCTGCCTCCTTGCTCAAGTGTGCTGAGCTGTATGAATGTCATAGCTGTTCTTTTATTAGGAATCTATTGAAGAGCAAAAAAAGTAAAATGTTTTTCAAAAATGTCCTGTGTGACGAATCCCTTCTTTTACTTTAGTCCTCTTTGTTCTGATGTTTGTGAATTCCTGACTTGACTAAACACATCTGGTATCATGGTGTTAGTAATACCACACGCTAAGGATCATTGTTTGTACCATCACAAATATGGGATAACTGAGGGTGTGTTAAATCCGTTTTATACATTAAGTGACCTTTGTAATCATTTGAATCTGAGGAATTCCTTGGGCCACACAAACACTGACCATCTTTTATTTTCACAGTACATTCATAATAAACGCAACATTTAAAATTAAATCCATAAAATGCAAAACCTGAAGAAACTTAACTGTTTTAAACAAAATGGTTAAACTTCAAGTCTCCTGAATGAGCTGTGTGCCAACTGTCCAGGGGCAACCGCAACGTTATTTTAAAATGTCATAATTTAATTTGTTTTGTTGTTGTTTTAAATGTTTGAAGCATTGAAGTAAAACCTGCCACTGTTGAGTTTCCATGTCAACCTTTGTGGCAGTCAATGTTTTAATGCATGGCTGTAACACCTCTTTTTCTGCCTGTGCCATTTTCACCTGCTGCCTTTGCCCCTTTGTCTGTCCTCTTGCCCCGCCTGCGGCTGGGTGCCGAGTGGCCCGGCTTGGCCGTAGTGAAGGTGATGCACTGGGAGTCCAGGTAGTCCACCAGCTTGGAGACACCCAAGCGGATCCCGGCTGCTTTGAGTCGCTCCTGGAGCTGGGACAGGACCAGAGGTTGGTACTCGAGGATCTGGCTGTACAGCCTGGAGTCAGACAGGATGAAGGAGCGCACTGCCCGGAGGCGATCCTGGAGGTGCGTTGCCGCCTGGGAGGCAGAGATGCCACCATCACTGTCTGAGTCACCATCGGAGGAGACACACAGCTCTGGGTTGGACCTGCTGAGAGAGAAGGAAGTGGTTAGATGCACATACTGTATTTGTGGAAGTGGAGGGGAAAAAGGAGGCTAAGTGTTGCATTCCACTTATTAAAACTGTCGACCAGAAACTTACCTGCTCACAAGAGACCAAGTACAAAATATTTCCTAGACCTGACTGAATGCTCCACACTAGGGCTGAGTCTAGAAATTATTTTCATTACCCAAAGATAGGGAATAGCATGAGCACACCATGTCCAGCTGTGTGACAAGAGCCCTCTGAAAAATATATATAGCAGCTAAACATATGTGCCGTTACGGAACACCTGAGATGATCCGCACAGTTGAATACAGACCGTACCTTTCAGATTCCTCACTGGCAGCTGTTGAAGAGGTGTTGGAGCCCTGTGAGGCAGACAGCAGCTCAGCCTCCTCCTCTGTGTTGTGTTTCTGAGGGGAGATGGCTGCAGGCACCCTGGGCTCTTTAAATTTCACTGTGTGGCCGCAGGAGAGCGGCTTGTTGCCAGCGGCCACTGAACTGGTGGGTGGGGGCTTTGTCTGAGCTGCGCGGCCCCCAGAGGGTATCTCATCCTCGGAGTCGGAGCTGACCAGCTGGTGGGTGTACTGGTGGATCTCCTTCAGTTTGAGGATCATCTGGCGCTTCGGTAAAGGCCGAACACCAAACCTGCACAGAGGAGAAAGTTAAGAGGCGTTCGTGACGGTCTCTCTGTGACAAACAAACAGATGGACGGGAGGAAAACAGCCGGAGACAGAGAGCAGAGCCAGACAGGCTAAGTTGACAGTGACACAGAGGGAGGTAATAGGATAGGCTCCTCAGTTAATGGCCTTGATTAGAAAAAAAACCCACGTGGCCCTTCTTTACCCTTTCTTTAACGTGAGGGCGGGGGGATTGGGAGTGAGCCGACTGACCTGTTGAGTTTGTTCTTGAGCTCCGGCGTGTCCATGTCAGAGTAGTGAGGCAGGGGGGTGATAGGCACCAAGGTTCGAAGCCTTTTATTGTGTGATGATGCTGATGAGACAAACAGGAAGACATTGTTTAAAGACACCAGCCTGATTTCTGCACCCAAACTTAAAAAATAAAAGATAACTGAATGCAGTGAAATCAAATGTTTACGGTTAGATGCTTCTTTAAATAAAACCTAACCAAACAGTCTTTAAGAAACTGAAATTAAACACAGTATATGTTCCCTCTCTCACACTCAGATATCATTTACATGATGTTCAGGGCGTAATGGTGTCTTCGAGTGATGTGTCTTAAATTGGATTTTGGTTGATTTTCTGTTTTCTATCAGCTTGCCCCACCTACTGCAGTTAGTAATTAACTACATTTCCCAGAATGCCTTCAGAACAGCTACATGGACTAGTTGATTTCATGTGAAGCTGGGCACACAGAAAAAAAACAAATATACTGAAAGCATTTGAACAAACGTTTGTCTATGAATGCAGCAGCCTCAGTTTTTGGTGTATGTGGTCAATGTTTTCTGGAAAATCTGTTGCTAATGACTCTGGACAGCTGAAAGATTTCTGTTATCAAACTCCATTATAATATCCAACTGAGATGTGCCACCATGTTATTTATGGTTGGCCAATCATCCACGGAAATACAAAACAAAACACTCCTAAACAAATGAAAAAAAAAAGAAAAAGAGGTAGGGCTGAAACTCAAGACTATTTTGATCATTGATTAATCTATCCATTATTGTTATTCCGTTGTTTAGTCTATAAACAGAAGACAGACAATTATTTAAAAATTGCAGAAGAAAACTTGAGCCAAAGTACTGCGGTGACAGTAAAAATACTCACCTGGTGTTCTGAGCTGGGCAGAGGGGTTCATCCGCTGAGAGAAAGGAAGAGCCGCCTCCTCCTCCTCTTCCTCCTCCCAGCTGTCCCATATTTTGGAATCCAGGAGGCTGTTGATCATCTCTGGTGTTGTCTGGGTGGTGGGGTCAGGTGGTGAAGGGGTAAAGGAAGGGGCTTTGGGTGGAGAGGAGGCAGTCGCACCACCGCGACTCTTCAATGACTGGATGCAGTAACTAGATGGTGGAGGGTGACAGTCGGTAGAGGACGTTGAACTGGCGGTTTCTCGTTGTCCTGCGCTGTGCTCTTGCTGGCCCGATCCTGTGCTGTCCTCCAGCCTCAGACTGAAGCAGCCCGGGTTGGCATCTACACAGTCGTCGAAGCCCCACGAGTCGTTGAAAGCTATGGGGGGCTCATCCATGGCCATGAAGCTCTGCTGGAGACTCAATTCTGAAACTTCTGCCTCTCCAGTTTCCGCTTCTGATTCTTCCTGCTCTCCGTCATTAGCTGGATCTTTATTTCTGCGCCCCATCTCTCGCTCTGTATTCATATTTAGTCCTCTCCTCGTTAGCTCAGGCCCTGTGTCACTGTGACTGCTGGACTCAGCAGAACATTGATGAGAGGAGTCGCTGTGTCTCTGTGAACTCTGAAGACCTCTGTGAGAGGAAGAGGAGGGTGGTTCTGAAGGGTCAGACAAGGTGGACAGATGAAAGCTCCCTAACTCGGCCTTCTCCGGGCTTAGAGATGGCGTCCTATCCCTTCCTTGACTTGATGACCTCTGCTTATCGAGGCAGCTGTGAAGTGGGGAGGTGCCAAGAACAGGGGGCTGGTGGAGCTCTGTGTGCAGGGGGGTGCTGCTGTAAGGCTGGGGCTGGATGTGGAGGGGTGTGTCCTGCTTTGAGGAAGTCGAGCCTGAGGGGTGTGAGAGCTTAGGTCGGCATGGGGGTACTGCAAACACTTCTCCATCCTTACCCACATCATTACTGCTTCGTTTAGTACAAAAGTTTAGATCAAAGCTGGAGCTAGAGGAAACAGTCTCTTCCAGTTTTATCCTGGGAACACTGCCCTCTGTTGGACAAACGTGGGCAGAAACTCTGGTTGGACTGCTGGAGGTCTGCAGTCTGTTGTTAAATGGTAAAGCAGGAGAAGAGGAAACAGAGGGCGGGGAGGTTTCCCCTTTAGGGAACAGCTGCGTCCTGCACATGCTGCTTTTGGTCTGAGTGGAGCTGGTTGTGGTGCTTCTTCTGGGCTGGAGCGGTGTGGATGGGATCAGCCAGGACACTTCTGGAGAGTAGTCCACTGGAATCTGGTCACACCCGGAGCCTGGATGAACTGGATCACCAGGACTAAACTCTAAACTACGGGGCTCTTTATTCTCCAGCGTGGGTTCACCAGGTTTCAGGACTGACTGAGGTTTGATCTGGGTGTAGCTCTGCAGATTCTGGACGGCGCAAGGAGGATGTGGCGAGGGACTGCGGGAACTAAGAACCACCTCTGTCTCCTCGCTTGAGTCAGACAAAACTATGAGCTCAGGTTCATCCTTTTTCTGAGGCGAATTAGGGGAAAGAGGGACACACATACTACGGGGGCGTTGGCTGTCTCGCTTCAAAGGCAAACCTTCTGTTCCCTTGTCTCCACCGCCACCCCAGTCACCCACTTGACCAGGGGACTGACCTGGGACAGGAAGGTTGGATGTACTGGGCGGGGGGCTGAGGGAAAGGTCGTCAACTCCGCTCGCTGAAGACTGAAGCAAAGTTCTGCCGGACCGTTTAGATAAGGGTTTATGAGAGGACTGGTGTTGTTGGGATTGAGGGGTATGTGAAGTGGAGGGTAAGGAGGAAGGATCACCTTCCTCGTAGACCCCCCAGGAGTCAGAGAAGAGACGGCTGTAGCTGCAATCCAGGCTGGGATCCGGCTGCAGGTTTTTTATGCTGAAGCCCGTTGAGCTTCTTCTGGGTTCTGTCAGGTTCACGAACACTTCTTCCCCATCTTCTTCCTCATCTGCCGTCTCCTCCTCCTCCCTCTTTCTCTGCGTGGCGGCAAACTCGTAGATCTCTTCCAGCTCTTCCTCGTTCACTCTCTCCTCGTGAATCTCTCTCTCACCTGACGTGAGGTCATCGGCTTCTTCCAATCCTCTCTCTTCATCGCTTCCTCCATCTGGATCCCTACCCTGGATGTCTTCATCCTCTTCCATCCACATTGAGCGGAGCAGCTCCGTGAAGGCCTGGTCTGTTTGGTTGTGGACGTTCTCCTCATTTGTGTAGTTTTCCCTCATCCCACTGAGTCGCTGCGTCCTCTTGGTTGAGCTCGCAAAGCTGCTGTAGCTCCTTCAAGTCAAACCTTAACATGCACAAAGACAAGACACAACACCGTATTCAAGCTTTCTCACCAAAGAATAAAGTTGAATTTATTGTTTATATTAGAATGTTGAATTTTTAATGGATTTTCAAATCCATCTATCGAACATGAGCTATTATTTTATACACAGTTTTCAGGTTTCTGGAATCAAACGAGAACAATCTGTTGCATAAACAAAACTGACTTCTGCACCTTTGCCAAAATACGGTTCATAACAGCCAGTGGTTCTCAAACTTTTCCGCATCAATGACCCCTAAACTGACACAAATTAGACCACGGACACCCATTTGAAAAGATTTGTCCCAGGATCGCCCATCGGATAGGATTTTGGCTTTTAGATGTTTTATTCCAGAAAGTGCATGAAATCCATGACCAAAATAGTTATACGTTCAGTCACTATGTTACTTATAGGGAAAATAAATGATTCCCCTTTTTGCTGGGGATTCCTGGGACCCCCTCAAGGACCCCTGGGGGTCCTCGGACCCCACTCTGAGAACCACTGGTGTAAGCTATATTACAGATAGGCAGGAAATGACAAAATAATGAATTTGCTGTGTTTTCTTATAATGCTATAATGTTTTCTTATAAAACCTCTAACCTCTAACATGCACTTCCTGTGCTCTTCTTCTTCTATCTCCAACAATTATCTTGTATTGATTGCACTTTTTGTTAACTCTTACTTCCTTCCCTAGGTATCTACCCCACTGATGTGATATGTACTGTGAGCTCTTACTAGTATTTATTGCTGCTCTTACTAGTATGTTTTGTCAGTTGTAGATCTGTAATTGATGCTCTGTTGATGCTTGTATGTTGTTCCTCAAATGTAAGTCGCTTTGGATAAAAGCGACCAAGTGAGTAAATGTAATGTAAATGTATAAAATGGTCACTTCAAAAGACTTGGGTCTAATAAACCTGATTTGATTTAACAAGTAATACCTAAGTGGACATTCTTTACTATGGGAATGAAAAACAGAAACACAGACTGACAGTAAAGTAATTCTCGTTTTGTTACAAGTATTAATACATTGGGCTGCTCAACATCCAGACAACACATCAGAACAAAAACCTGAAAAAACAATGAAAGTCAGCAAAATTATCTAGACCAAAAGGTGGACCAAATTTTTTTGTTATTTAAAAATTGTATGACATCTTTGACTCACTGCTCATTATAAAAATGTGTACAAACGGCCTGGCTCGTATACTAACCTAGACGCAAGCTCCAGTACATGAGGCCTCAGTGATGCTGGGATGGAGCAGTGGGCTGTGTAGAGGTACTGCAGCAAAGCAAACACTGCCTGTCCCGGGATGTCGTTCATCAACACCCTCTGTGCTGCAGGCATGCCTTCTTCCTGAGCCCCAAAACCACTCTCATGTACCTGTGAGAGGAGCAGGAGGAGAATGCAAAGAGAGTACACGTTCTAATGTTGTTTCTGATCACAGATAAATGTAGACCTTGTGAAAATGTTATTTAGATTGACTAACTGTATATTTTAAATTATGATTCAGAGAAATGTTATTGTCCATCACACAGTGATGAAACTTTGTCTTTGACATGGCTCACACGTAAGCAAAAACAAAACATACACTAAGCATTCCTGGCAGTACAAATATTTTAATCCTTTTTCTAAATTAAAGTTTTGGACAAACTCAAGAAAACACAGCACTGCTAAAATGCTTTCAGCTTGACTGAAATCAACTGGAGAGCCTCTGCTTGGCTTTATTAGAGGAGCTGAAACTATCAGCTGATAAGTATCATGTACTGTGGCATGTTTTAGTCCATTTAGTAAGTCTTACAGTTAAACTACATTTATCATTTCAAAGTTAAACTATGAAAACAGAGCAGAGATTTATACATGCAAGTATGCAGTCCTGGTTTTTATATAATAGTAGGGCTGTGCTAGGCAACACACAAGGAAATAAATGTTACCATTTCTGCCAGCAGGGGGCAGCGAGCATACACCATGAAGGAATGAGCAAAGTAGACCTCTCCACTGTCCACCTGGAGCTGCAGATCACTGAGCTGAGGGTTGTTCACCATGCTGCTCAGGTCTGATACCAGCCTGGACAGCGCCACCTACAGAGGAAACACCAGCAGGAAGTACTGGGGGTCAGTGCACTTCAGATTGAATACACAGAGGCACACAGTGGGCACACCAGAGAAAACATCCTCCACTGTATCATCTCAGTCCTGAGAAAGTCACATAAAACACATGGCATATTATGTATTATACATTAAGATACAATGTTTTTGTTTGGGCTTAAACTTTTTAACCAACATGATCACTGGGTGAAACCTGTTCATACAAGTTGTGCAGTAGTGTCATGTCACCTAATAGGACTGGATGTAAGCAAGATAAGATTTACTTTACAGAAATGCAACCGATTGATGAACTGAAGATTTGGTCAGATACAAATGATGAAAAACAGGAGAATCCAGGATCCGGGTTGGAAATAACAGGTCTTACTGGTCTGTGGCTTCCTCGCTCTTTATGTGCTCCTGGCTGATCAGCTGTCCTCCTCGCTTGGCCGTGGGTGTCCTCTGAGTGTGTGTGTGTCACATCTGGCAGAAAGCTACTCAAACGTGGGTCAGCCTGCACAACCTCCTCTGGGACGAACCCGCTCAGATGGAGGTTTGTGATCTGTGCAGCGATCTTGTCTGTTGGAACAAAGACAATCAGGACCCGGACTGATGACCAATTAAGTCACTATTTAGCAGTTTGGGCTGGCAAGTTGCTCCAATCGGTGATCCTTGTGTAGCAGTACACATGAATTCTCATGTTAAAATTTAGGAAATCAGTTTGTGACCTTTCTCAGGGCCTGAAGCAGTGTAACCACACTGGGTGAGGGTAACACCGTCTTCAGCCAGCTCCATCAGTTCTAGGAGTGCCTGGCTGCCCACTGGGAGCTGCCCTGTCTCTGGAGTGGAGGAGGCCATCTGGGAAGAGGACAGCAGGATGGAGGCCCTGGTTCCTGTGAGAGGAGTTCCTTCGCTCACAGGTTGGACAGAAGACTCAGGCCTGTTGGTGGAGGAGGTGGTTGCATCGGTCTAGAAGTGGAGGAGAAAAATATAAATTCAATTCAGCTGAGGTCTGATTTTAGTTTGTTGGTCAAATATTCAAAGCATCACAAAAGCTCACATTCAGAAGATCACTGATATCTACCGATCATCAGTAATATCGGTGAGGTGGCTGCGCAGAGCCCAAAGGATACTAAAAGACAGTACCCACTCCAGCCACAGCCTGTTCACCCTGCTGCCTTCTGGGAAGACATATAGAAGTTTCAGCCCCCCCCCCCACACACACACACAAGCTATCAGACTTTTAAGCTCAAATTTATCCTCAGCACTACAGCATGTAAAATATATATTAGTTATATATATTTCTGACATATTTATCCACCATCTACCGGAACGTTTGTTTTTATGAGTAGCATAAAGGGAACTACAACTTAATCTTGTTATACAACCCTGTGTTAATGATAAATAAAAAATGGGGGGGCTATGTAAATGTAAAATGATAAATACATTTTCCTTGTACCTTTTATTCAACCTGTTGTACCTTGTATTTGATTTAAAACAAATCTATAAATTAAATTTGTGAAAAATAACTAAATAAAATTATTAGAATAGTAACATATTGAAACAAACCTAACAAATAAATGGCGAATTAAGCTCAGTTTGTTTGTACAAGGATGTAAGGTAAGCAGAAAAACATAAGTCTGTTCTAGTATTTCTTTGAAAAAAACAATCTTCAGTGCAATTTTAATAAAGCCAAACTTCTTAAAATCGGTGCAGCTGGCTTTCCAGTCTCAAATATGTGCTTTTAAGTTTGTTTTTCTTTTACACCATTATATTTTTTTGAATCTGAGAAATACAGCTTTGCATTAAAGCTCTTAAAAATGTATTAAAGCTCGAGGCATTTTAATACATTTACTAAATTCACCAACAAAATAACATCATTATCTTCAGTATCTCCCTGTCAGTTTCAGACACTTCCATGTTAATCTGCACATTTTTATTTCTAGGACAGGACAGGACAACCAAACAGTGTGTGCTTCTCTATCTCAAGTGGCATTTGATAAAAAAAAAAAAAGAACAGAAAACAAGCTTAATATTTAGTCTGACTTCAACTCCCCTGTTCAGTTTAAACAAAACAGAAATAACACAGCAAAACATGTGCAAACGTGTCTTTGGTCCCTCTCACCGCTGCAGATTGCGAAGGTGTGATGAACTCTCCGAGCTCTGGAGTGTAGAAATCAGACAAACAGTTGGAGCCTCCGCCCAGTAGTGTGCTCTTCTGCCAGAGGGGGGCAGCACCGCTCCAGCCAGGCAGACTGCTGGGGCAGCGGGTCGGGGTGGGGGGAGAGGGGGGCCGATGGTGTATGAGGAGAGCAGAAACCCGTTCCTGCAGCCTTGTCAGAGCCGCCTCAGCATCCTGAATGAGGAGGAGCGGAGGAGGACAAGGGACGGCGCCTTTTTTCTTCTTTCCACGCCCCTTACCTGCACCAACAGGAGGAGAGAGTGGGGTCAGACGATGCATCGGAAGGCCTAGCGCAGTCCTCACGTTTTTATATATAATCTTTAATTTGTCTACTAAATATATATGAATTTATGTACCACACTGGAAATAAAGGGTTTTTCCCAAATTTCCAAATATACTTGTTACAGTAAATTGCTTCTCAACACGACAATATTAACACAATAAATTAAAACCACAAACACACAACAAATAAAACTAATATACTAATAATAATACTTGATGTGGATGTTACTGTACCTGCGTCTGGCCTCCACTTCAACGCTGGAGTCATGGAGATGTGAGAAGCAGCAGTCTCTGTATGTAACTGTCTCTCTGCCTCCCTCTCCTGTTCCAGAAGGGAGGAGGACAGAGCCAGGGCCACCATGGTGTCTTCATCCATGGGTTCAGTCTTCTTCCTGGGCTTCTTCCTTGCTGGGAGGCCTGGCTTGCAGGGGCCTTTTCTTTTGGTGCCTCCAGTCTGTGCGCTGAATAGAAAAAAAATAGCTTTGTAAGTACTCACACACTGACGTTAAGCTATTTCTATTGTCGGAGTGACCTGACTCACAGTGTGTTAGCAACGTGGAGATTCTGGGTCTCCTCAGCCTGTCTCTGCACTGCCTGCAGCAGCACAGCCGAAGTGACGCCCATGTCTGAAGAGCAGCGCTTGAGGTGGGCTGAACGACTCTTCTGGGACTTGAACTTCTTGCCACAGATGGGACAGTCAGGGATGCCAGGAGGAGGAGGAGGGGCTGGGGCGCTCTTTTCACTCTCATCCAAACACCTAGAAAGAAGGACCATTCTCACACTCAAGTGTGTCCACCAGTCCAATGCTTGCCCATGGCTTGCAGTCAAGATGTTTAAGTTAATTTTACTGTTGCAAATAACTCTGGATAAAAAGCCTCAGCCAAGTGCCAACACTAAATATAAACATCCAGACCTGTTGAGGTGCTGTGTTCGCCCCTCAGAGGTCATGTGCGACAAGTCTCTTTGGCAGATCTGACAGAAAAAGAGGCCTCCATCCTCTAGGTCCACAATCTGGGCTTCTGCTGCCTCCCTGTCCAGCACGTGCTGCAGCCGCAGGGCCAGAGCCTCATCACTGTCCTGCAGCTCCAGGTGGAGGCCCGAGGTGAAGTATTCGGGAGGATCTGGGTACAGCGGGGAGGTAGGAAATACAGATGCAGGTAAAGGGTGTGCTAAAATAGGCTGCAGTTATAGCACTTTTATAAAACGTTTTTACTTATATCATGATATTGATTCATTTGCGCCTCAATACAGTCTGAAATGATTACACTGTGCTCTCTGTCCACTGGGCAACAATACAGCATACTATCAATCTGTGCCAGGAACACCATCATCCCACCTCGTCTTTGTGCCAGAGGTGGTGGAGGAACGCAATCGTTTGTTGGCCGGCTCTTCTCCTTGTGGACCAACCTCTGAGGACTAACTCTCTTAAACTGTTGCATTCTGTGGAGTACTTTGTCTTTCGCTGCCAAACCTCTCTCGGCACTCGGCACTGCTGCAGGCACAGCTGAAGACCCAGCATCTCCTGAATCATGTCCAGTCCCTCCGCAGACCACATGCTGCTCGGCTGCTGCACCTGTACAAACAGGCTGGGTGCCAGCAAACTTGGACCCACAGTCACCCTCTCCTTTGTTATTTCTCCTCCTCTTGTCCCCTTCGCTTGCCTGGCTGGAGGGCTGATGCTCTGCTTTCCTTGGCTGTCTGGGCTCACCTGGTTTCTTGCGGACTCGCTTTAGCAGCTTCGAGCAGAGATCTACAAAATCCTGGTCCGAGTCATCCATGATGGTGTAAGTTACTTTGTCTCACATTAAAAGGCCTTGCCAGCATGTTCCCAGTTGTGACGATCAGCCTGCAAAGAGAGCTAGTTCAGGTTGAAGCAACTGATGTTGGTTGGGTTCAGGGACCAACAACAGGACATTTGTTACATGTTACATTATACAACCTTGTGTTGTATATCCAAAGAAGGTTAAAGTCAAGCTTGTATAATGATAAATAAACCATTTGTACCTTGTATGTTAGCAAGATTAAAGACTCCGTTTAGCTCTTTTACTCAAAAATACAAAACAGCTATGCTACGCGTCAATGCAAACTCACATTTACACATTTATGTTATATCTAGGACGAATTCTTAACTAATAATGCTTGAAAGCGTTTGTTTGTAGTGACTATATCAGTTAGCCAGCTAGCAGGTCTTGCTAACACTTTATCCTCACCCAGGTTTGATTAATTTGCTCTTCAGCCTTCCGACTCATCGCTGTTCACTCACGAGCCTGCCTCCAAGGCGAGCCTCGTGTATTTTATGTAACGTTATGTATTAATTATATGGGTAAAGCAGGCTAGAGGTGTTAGCGGGGTTTGTTTTCATTTCAAAAGTGCTCCCACACAACCGCTATATTTTTTTGCTTCCGGTCATGTGACGATACTCGAACAAATGCGCGCCCTCCAGATCACGTGACTGTAACGCCTCGCCAAGGACCCACAGATTATAGCAACACTAGGTCCATCCCTGGGTCCACGCTACTTTATGCCAAATAACTAAATATATAGTACCATTATCAATTAAATCACAATTACATTGCAAATACCTTCAAATTACCTCACCGGCCAAATCTATAAATCAGCAGTAATAAAAAGGAAAGAAATATTTTAGACTGAGGTACAGTGTATTTATCCCAAATGATGCACAGCCCTCATGTTTTTACTCCGTGCCTGTCTTGATAAAAGTACCAAATTATAGTCCCTGGTTATCAATATAATGTCTTCTGAGTAATAAAATAATCTCTTAACCTCTTTGAGTGCAGTGGGTCACACCATCACAAGACGTGGGAGCAGAGCGTATGTAAGATACGACAAATCTATATTATGTTCAAAATATTAATGCCGTCTGCTTCAGGTGCTTAACTTAAGTCATTTTCAATAAAACGAACTCACCAACTTCCCTCTGACCAATTAATCTGATTTCTTATATTTCCTAATTTGAGGGCATTGGCAACGTCTGTGAGTAAAGTAACATTACTAATGAAAAAGCTGCTGCCAGAGGCATCATTTTGTTTTAAGACAGGATACACATGCCCACAACCTTATACCCTCCTCCCATCCTTTAACTATTGTGTGTCTATATGTATTTATGAGCCTGGAATCCAGACAAGACCTAAGACTGAGTCAAATGTCTCATAAAATTTTCATTTTTGTGTTTCTGATGTGAGCTATAGCATTAAATTGCTGCATCACTACATGCAAACTGTTATGCTGTGAGGAATGTAGGTGTAAAATAATGTTGCATAACAAAAGTTTCATTAGAAATAAAGGTTATTTACCAGATGCCACTGTGGAAACAAATGAACACAAACCAACAGGAGGAGTAATGCTTCATTATTTTGTCAACAGAGTACTGGAGTTCTTCTGTTGCACACAGTTTATTTAACAATATGGTATATAAGTAAGAAATGAGTCTTTTACCAGTTTATACAGTGATTTCATTCTCTCTTCCTTATATTTATAGTATTTTGCTTAATAACTTGATTTACAATAGGAGAAAAAGTAAATCCCCCTAATTCAAGTTTTTCATAAGAGAGGAATGAGGGTTGATAACATTTAGTTTTACTCAAGGTGAATCTCAAATGAGCCCTTCATCCCTAGATAGCACACATCTTAGTGTAAAATGTAGAGGATGGGGCGTCATCCGAGATGTGGCCTACAAACAACCGGTGATCATTCCACCTCAGCTTAGGGGGCTGGTCTTTCTCACACTCTCTTTACACTTTACAACATTTGTATGACAAAAAAAAAAAAGTTTACAAATTATTTTTAATGTCAAAAATCCTACACCTGCAAGACAGATTTTCCAAATTCCAGGCCACTGGGATGTAGGCTGCAGTCCTTGTGTGTGTGTTTATGAAACCAGTCGGCGCTGTAGTTATTTTAGTGACTGTGAGGGCTTGGTGTCAGTGTCTTCATATGCGCCTGCAAACATGCCTGTGTATTCACAACCTGCCGCAGTCCGTTTCCTATTTTAATACAACTGAGTGCTCTTCATACACACAAAGAGGAGGGGAGCGGTCCCTGAACTCACTGTCTTGGAGTAATGGTACAACACTAGATTACAATTGCCAGAAATGACAGCTTGAGAAAAGAACGAAAACCTGGCCCAGACAAATTATTTTACAGTTTCAACACAAAAATGCTTAAGTTTAAGCTTTTCAAAAGGTACAAAATAAAAAGATATGAATTATATAATGCAATTGTACATTTTCTTAAAAAAAAAAAGAAAGAAAGAAAAGAAACGGGAAAGGCATGAAACCATACCAAAAACAAACCAAACTAAATTGAGTATTGAACACATTTGGTCTCAACCAAAAAATATATTCTTTGTGATTTAAATTTCATTTAAGAAGCAACTTGCAAATCCCTCAACGTCTTAAGGAAGAAACACCCATCACTTGGGTTTAGGAAACAATTACATTCCCAAGAAGTGTTTGCTTTTTTTGTTTTTTTCTGGTGCTTAATTTTCTTTCTTCTTTTTACAACAGTTTTACATGTCAGTACAAAAAAAAAAAACTGTTCTCAACCTTAGAAAGAACAAACAAAGCCCTCAAACAGGTTAAAGAGTCTGAGGAGAAACTAAGAGGAAGTGCAGTGGGAGGGTGGGTCCCTGGGAGTGAGAATTTGTTCTTTACTTCCCAGCAGAAATGCTACAATCCTTCCACAAACTTCTCCAGAGTGTCACTGTTACCCAAGTCACTGTTCAGCCCCCCTCTGCTGGGTGTGTTAAGCTGCGGTAGCATGGCGCTTTGTTCTGGTGTCCCCAAGTTTCCCTGCTCCATGGACCCTGAAAGTGGGCCCCCGAGTCCTGGATGGGGGGAACCCGAGTGGGGTGGATGTGGGTGCTGTGGTGAGGGCTGGGGCTGGACCTGCGGTGAGGGACTGGAATGTGGCCGCTGCTGCTGTTGCGAGGGCGGACAGGGAGACTGAACAGGAGCGGGGGAGCGGACCTGGTTGCTGAGGGCATTGGCTAGTGCGGGCTGGCCGGGTAGGTGGGCTCCACCCTGAGGCTGGCCGGCCAGCAGGTGGGTCTGGGGACTCATGGGGCTGGGCTGGGCAGGAGAGCCCATCTGCTGCTTGAGGACGGCCTGCTGCTGCTGCTGGGGAAGTTGCTGCTGCTGCTGCTGGAGCATCCGTTGATGCAGTAAGTTCTGGGGGGAGTCCATCCCCATGCCAGGCTGGGCCATAGGTGGGAGCTGGCCCATGGGACCCCCGGCTGCTCCTGCACCTGCCTGCATGGCTATCTGCTGCTGCTGTTGCTGCATGCGGAGCTGGGAGTATGTAGCTGCTGTACCCTGCGCTTGAGCAGGGAACTGGCCCGGATGGCCCTGAGGCATCACCCCCTGCTGCTGCTGCTGCTGCTGCTGCTGCTGCTGCTGCCTTAAGATCTGCCGACGGTAGAGCTCCTGGATCTGGGGGTTGGTATGCGCTGCATTCATCAGCTGCCCCTGAGCACCCAATGCAGCCATGCTCTGGGCAGGAGGCTGCTGGGGCTGCTGAGGGGGCATCCCCGGCCTCTGAACCGCCCCTCCTGCCATGGCCATGGCCTGCATTGTTGGCATGCCGGGTTGCTGTTGCTGACCTGCCTGCTGCTGCTGCGGCTGGTTGGCATGGTACTTGGCTGTTCGCTGTTTGATGAAAGCAGCCATTAGCTGAGGGTTTGATTTGAGGATGTTTAGGACTTGCTGCTGCTGCTGGGGCGAGCTGGGAGACTTCAGGGTGCGGAGAAGGTCCTGCAGGGCGTTGGGTGCAATAGCACCAGGTCTCTGGGGTGTTTGTGGCCGGGCACCAGGCTGCTGTGGAATCAGCAGCCTCTGGCCCGGCTGAGGTTGCTGCCCTGGGGACAACATGGCTCGCTGCATGGTCATGGCCTGCTGTGGTGTCTGGCCTGGGACAAGGCCTGGTTGTTGAGTCTGAGCTGCCTGCATGGGCCCCGCAGCTCCAGGCCATTGTCCTGGGGCCATGCCCGGTTGCATGACCTGTGGCCCCCGGGGCCCTGGCACCATCTGCATGGGTGGCTGCATTGGTCCGGTCATGCGCTGCTGTGGCTGCTGGGGGTTCATGGGCAAGCTGTTCATGTTGACCCGGAAGCTCTGCTGGTTCTGCTGGGCCTGCGCCATCATCTCGATGTGCCGTGCCATCTTGACTGCAGCGAGGGGGGGCTGCTGAGGTGGCTGTGGCGGCTGGGGGAGAGGGGACTGCTGCTGGTGTAGAGGGGAGGCCTGGGGTCCAGGCTTGCCCTGAGACACCGGAGCTTGAGGCTGGCCATTGCGAGGGGTATTGGCAAAGGAGGGGGACATGACGCCTGTTGAGTTGGGGGTCTGCGGCTGGTTGGAGAGAGGCTGCTGGGGCGTCTGGGGAGTGCTGGGTTGGGCATGGGAAGTGGGAGTGCTGGGAGCAGCTGAGGCCGGTGGGGACGGTAGCGGCATGGTTCTCCCTTGCATGGTGGCCATTCTTCTCCTCATCAGCTGAGCCTGCTGGAGCCTGTGCTGCAGCTGCTGCTGGCGGAGCTTGTGCTTGATGTTCAGGCAGAACGGGACAGGACACTTGTTCTCCTGACAGTGCTTTGCATGGTAACAGCATAACGCGATGAGTTGCTTGCATACAGGGCAGCCACCGTTGGTTTTGCGCTTGCAGCCCTTGGTGTGCTGCACCACTCGCTTCATCTTCTGGCAGGACGGCAGAGAGCAGTTGGCATTGCGACACTGACAAGCATGGACCAGGGACTGGATGCAGCGTTGGATACTTAAGCGCCGGCTCTCCTGTGGGCTCTTGGAGGCTTCTCCACTTTGGCTGTTGTTGTCGTCGTCCAGGCCAAGGCCCCACTTCACCATCTGGTGCTCGTGTCCCTTCGTGTTGTAACAACTAATGCAAAGATCAAAGTCCTGCAGAAAATAGCAGACAAGGGACACAGTAATCAACATCTCAGTCCAACAAAGTCTGATAAACTGATTTGTAAGAGGTTCACAAATCGCTGTTTATAATAATACAGAAATGTGATGTAGTCCACAAATATCATTCCTGATTGATCCTCATCTGTCCTAGTCAGTCATAAAACACTGACAGACATCCTCTTACAATTCTGTTTCAGATGCAGGACACTGAAACGGAAGCAATTCCAGTGTAAAAACACAATACAGCATACTAATATTAGTAACTCACCTCGCACACAGTGCAGTGCCAGCGAGTCTCCACGTGGTGCTTGCACTCGTTGCAAGTGTAGACAAATCGGTCCTGTCCCTGGTTGTGCAGCTCAACCAGCATGCACATGGTGCTCCACTTGCACCTCCTGAGGGAGCTGAACTCCCAGTGTTTGTCCCTGGCCAGAGTCAGGAAGGCGTCGCGGCCGTCCATCAGGTCGCAAGAGAGCAAA